AGTTTTTTAAGTGTTAGTGTCTCACGGAGGATAGCCACACAGCTACAGCTTTGTAAACTGTACAACTATCCAATTTCTCAGAAAGGAGCAATGGTTCCTTTTTTTTCCTCTACCTCCATTCTAGGCATGCTTTCTCTGGTCCTCTCAGCTTCATCCCTCTCACTTCCTATGATGTACTTGATCACTATATTGTCACCTCCCTCCATCACCTCTCAAGTGCTGGAATGGTGGGCATGCCCCACCACACCTGGCTCCCAGTGCATCTTTAAGACGCAAAAACCTGGAAAACAACTGGGCAAGGCAAAGATGATCCATCAAGCAGAACCCAAGCCTGGTGTTTGAGCTGAGAACAGAGTGGGTAGATTCTAAGTCCTACAGAAGACCTGCTGTTATTCTGCTAAAAGGACAGAGGATTAAAATACCCTCTAAGGGACTCATCTTCATACACATATATTAATGCAGCTCTGAACCTTCCCCGGAGATGCTGACAGGAGATGGTGATCGATACACAGACTCACAACCAATTGATGTGAGAATAAGAGACTGTGGTGTGCTCAGCCCTACACTCCAAACCTGAATCCCACCATGGTTCAGGAAGCATGGAGGAAGAGAGGGCAGAAAGGCTGTAAGAGGCAGAGGAAGAGGGTAACAGCTGCAAGAGTCTTTTCGAGACGAGCAGGCCCATTCGCTCAAGAGCTCACAGCAGAGACGACTGGACAAGACCCACACAAGCTCAAGCTACTAAGAAATCCCACCAAGGATGGGAGAGCGGCTCACAACCCACCCCTACCCCCAGCTGAGGAATTATTGTCAATGTACAGCTGCCTGGAAAGGGAGACACCCGTTTTCTTCAGCGATGCAGCCCCTGGGGGATAATCCAAGCTCTAGTAGATCTCCCTACACCCATGCAAATACTGGCAGTATTAAGTGGACACGGTTTTAAAAAGCATACTCGAAATCGAGAAGAAAACACGGGGGACCTACGGGAGAGCTGAAGGGGAGACGTGGGGGTGGATCTGATCAAAACATATATTGTGCATGTATAAAACTCTCAAACAATTAAAAAAAAAGATCTGGGCAAGGGAGCGAATTCTTTTGAGATGAGGGAGAAGCATGAAGAGAATTAGAAAAAGGTCCTAGTGGAAAAGAAAGCAGAGTAGGTGCGGGGTGACTCCTGGGGTCCTTACGCACCAACTGCTAGAAAGTGTCAGCCCCATGCAGCCAGCCCTCGGCTCTGCAGCTGGAGTTCACGATGATCAAAACACTCTTCCCAACTCAGCGCATTATTGTACACAGCTGTTTCCATGTTGGACCTCACTTTAGCCAACAACACAACCTGATGTTGGGGGAATCGTACCCCATTCTACAGGGAATGGTGCTGGGGTTCACGGCCTTACCCTAGAGGACAGGTTCCAAAACAGAAAAGAAAAGGAGGTAGGTGTGGTAGCTTCCCACCTGTCATCCCAGAACTTGGGAGGCTGAGGCAGAAGGACTGCCATAAGTTCTAGGCCAGACGGGGCTATGGATGTACGTCTCCAAAAAATGGAAAAGAAGTTGAACATAAATCAAGCTGGAAACGAAACTTCTCTCGCACCCTTCCCCTTGGATTTCCTCGTTTCTCATCACCTGCTCCTCACCATGACGACCACGAAGCAATGGAGCAGTCCAAAGACAAAGCAAGGGTAACCTGCAGTGGGTGCAATGCAATCGGAGGCAGAAAGCCTGGTCACCACCAAACATCAGGACTCACGCGAGATGAGGACTCACGCGAGATCTCATCAGGACTCATGCGAGATCTCGCGGTTGGAAGAGAAGAATCCATTCTGGCAGTGACGGTGAGGACGGCCAGACACCTGCCCCTCCATTAATTAAACAGGCACACAGCCACTTGCATCATTAAATTCTAAGTTGATGTAACTTTGTTTTGAGAGTGGGTCCCACAAGCCCACCCAGGCTGGCCTCAAACCGCACTATGTATCCAAGGACTTGGACCGCCTAACCTTACTGCCTCTGACCCCAGAAGGGCTGGGATTACAGACACGAGCCACGATGATGGGGCTGAGAGATGGCTCAGTAGGTGAAGGGGCTTGCTGGGAACTCCTGGCAACCTGAATTTGATCTGGGAACTTATGTAAACACGGAAGAAAGGACTCCTGAAATCTGTTCTTTGACCTCTACATTGGCACAGTGGTACACATGACCCCTGCCCCTGGCCACACACGATAATATTTCTTCTTCTTTTTTTTTCCTTTTTTTCTTTTTTGGTGTTTAGAGAGAGGGTTTCTCTGTGTAACCAGCGCTGTCCTAGAACTCACTCTGTAGACCAGGCTGGGCTGGAACTCATAGAGATTCACTTGTCGCTACCTCCCGAGTGCTGGGATTAAAGGCATGTGCCCAGCAAGATTTCTTTAATTGCTTTAAAATAGTTAGAATAAGGTGAAATTGAATTTTCCAAATTTAAATGGTTAATATTTGTTCATAATTTTTTTGCTTTATTTCCTTTTTTTTTTTTTTTTAAAGACGGGACCTTGCTGGCCTAGCACTTACTATGTAGGCCAGGCTAACTGCAGACTTACAATTCTCTGGTCCCCATCCCAAGTGCTGGGATTGCAGGTGCATGCCATCATACTCAAATTTGGATGTGACATCTCAGCCCTTCCCAAACTGACACAGAATTGTCTTTTAAATCTCCCTTCTCTAAAGAGGAAACTGAGGCAAGAGAGGAAGTCAATTGTTCCAAAGTCAGAGAAGCAATACAAGGTGGAGGCAGAAAAAAGAAAACCCGGAGCAGTCTGCTGACATCCTGTGCTCTTAACAATTACCCAGACCTTCTGGACACATCCTACCAAGTGTGGAAGACAAAAGTGCTGGCGCAGAGAGACCAGTAGCTCACTTACATTCCAGCAAGCCCTTGCAAGTTGTTCACTGATACAGGAAGCCCGGGGGTCAGATTCTCAAAAGTACCCCAAGAAATGTTTCCATCTTCAGGGCCACCTTACAGATGAGGAAATGGCTCAGACAAATAAATACGTTCATTTGGCCAAGCTCAGCTACACTGGCTAATGATCACAAGGTGCGTATTAACAGTGGTGTAAGCATTAACTCCACATAATCCTCATAATTAACACTGCAAGGTAAATTCCATTGTTACTCATCCTTCTTACCTAAATAACTTGTCTAAGGCTCTATTCTCCCTAAGTAAAGGGTAAGGCCAGGATTCACTCGGGTTCAAAGCCCTTCTCAAAACAAAGTCATGGTTACACTTGGCTACCTGGCAGAGGAACAGAAATTCAAACCCAGTCTGTGAGTTCAAGGCCAGCCTGGTCTACAAGAGCTAGTTCCAGGACAGCTAGGGTTGTTACAAAACCCTATCTTGAAAAAACAAAAAAAAAAAAGAAAGAAAGAAAAGAAAAGGAAGAAAGGGAGAGAGAGAGAGAGAGAGAGAGAGAGAGAGAGAGAGAGAGAGAGAGAAAAGAAAAGGAAGAATTCCAAACTCAGATCTAACTCCAGAGTCAGAACCTAATTGCCCTTTGGTCTGCATAACTGTGGCGGGAAAGCCTGGAGGCACTCTGGGGAGTCAAGGAAGGTACATTTAAGGGGCAGCATCTTGAAAGAGAAAGTGATTTGGGGACACAATAACGTTTGTAAAAGAAATGCAAAGTAAGGACTCCCATCCAATGGAAGCCTTTCTCAAACAGCAATGCAGCCATAGGCTGCATTACACTATTAAGAAAATCGGAGTAAATTAGAAAAGCTTTACATCATTGTATTTAATACTCATATTAATATTATTAAATACTCTTGATGAAGGAAAACAGGTTTTTAATTTCCTTTCATTTTGGCCACACACTTGAAATTCAACAAGGAAGCACAATGCGTGATTTTCCTTCTGTCACGCTAGACTAGCATCCTGACTTTGAACAGCTACTTCCTCAAACTGAGTCCTGCAAAGCCCAGTGGTTTATCAGACCTCCAGGGACCTTTACAAAATTCTCCTTCGAGTCTTGAAATAATCATTTAGAAACTGAAAAAATGTCCGGGAAAAAAAAAATCAAGCCAAGAAGTGGGGGAAAGTAGCGCACCTATTTCTGGTTGGACCAGGGGCTCGTTCATGGTCAAGTTTTGACAGAAATGCCACAGAGCCGGATTCATTTTAACTGGCAATCTGCTTTATGACCACAGTATCGGCAGCTGCGGAAGCACAAGTCTTAAGCATAAGCCCAAGAAAAAGGAACAGGAAGCGGTGGGAATGGCGAGGGAGCTCTGGAGCTTGTGCGGGTTCCTGGATTTATGAGATTGGGCAAGTGATAATTCTAGGAAAAGTGCTGGGCGACCGGCCAACTCCAGGGTCCCAAACGTGGGCCCTGAACAAGGTACTTTCACGCCCCCTTGCGGACCCAAATGACAACTGATAATGTGCCAATGAAGGGATAGGTAAAGGGCTCGGAAAGGTTCTCCAAGAAGAGCGTTTAGAGCAACCCTTCAAGAGACTCATTCGCAGAGATCCGCCCAGATTTACATATAAGTAAATTGGGGCTCAAGGAAGAAAAGCATGTCTTGCTAGCAACAAGAAAAGCTGAAATGAAGGCAGCTGTGGAGCTAGTGCCTTTTATCTGGAAGTTCAGGGACTGGTGTCCGATCCAATCCTTCTTTTCGGACCGAGCAGGCTAAGCTGGCATTAGGGAAACCTGGCAAGGAGACCGCGCGCACTGAGGGGTGGCGAGTCCGCGGGACGCAGGGCTGCAGAAGCCCAGCTAGGGCGCAGCCTGCACCATGCGCTCCCGGCATCGGTCCCTGCAGCCTTCCTGAGGCTGCCAGTCCCGGGGTTGTAGCCGCCAAAGCACTCGCGCCAGCAAACCAACCAATCCAGGCGTCAGCAACGGTACCCGCGCCAAACGCAACTAGCCTGCCACCAGCCAGATCGCGAGTGCTCTCCGGACCGCGGCAGGCACCACAAGCAGGGCAACCGGGGAGCCCACCGACTGAGCGCCTCTCCTTACCGGAGCTGCTCCCCGGTGACGAGGACTTCAGCCATGCGTTCCAGCTCTCTCTGATGCGCCCCACCACTGCCGCCGGGGTTGCTGTCGCTGCCACCGCTGCCGCCGCTGCTGCCCTCCTCCATTCTCCCGACCGCGCGGCTGCTGCTACTCTGCCTTTGCTGTCCCGCCGGGTGCCTGGCTTTCGGATCAGTCTGCCCTCGCCGAGGCCGCCCCGGCCATCTTTGTTCCTGGCGGTCCCGTGGCTCACAGGCGATTGGCTCGTGAGGGAATCCCTGCGGGCAAGCTGGAGATTTCGGCGAGTCCAGCCCTGGAACTTCGGCATGGGGGCGTGGCCTGGGCTCGCTCGTGGTCCGGGGCGGGGCCAAGGAGGAAAACATAAACATCTGGGCGGGGCAGTGAGCTGAGTATTTCTTTGGGAGGCTGAGTGTTTCTCTCCTTTTATATTTCTTTTTTTACTTCCAAAGTCATGCTGGAGAAGTTTGCATTTTTACTGTACTTTCCATAGCCGAGTTGCAGAGAATAAAAATGAGAATCATAAACTCAAATAATGAAAGGACATTCCACTCTGCCTGACCACTTTCTCTGGTGACAGCCTACCTTATGGTGGACTCAGAAAAGCGTCTTGACCTGGGGTGGAAAAGGACTAAGAATCTGGCTTCATTCCTGTGATTTCCTAACTAAGTGCTCTTAATCCCTTCTTACAATAATTGTAGCTAGCACCTGCCCACACCTGGTGCATGAAAGATGCTTCAGGCAGGTCGTTCGTTGCCTTGCGTCATTTTTCCAGATCGTAATCTGAGCGTGCCTTCCTTTTCCATCTAGAAGGCAACTAGGAGGAGTGAGGAACCTGGTCCCCTGCAAGCAGGCAAGGTCAGTCTAGATTTTAGGGTGTGTTTTAAAACAACTGCATCTTTCGAGGCGTGGTGTGACTCGCCTGTGTTCCCAGAACTCCAGAAAATGAGGCAGAAGGATGGTGCGTTTGAACCAGACTGGCCTGCAAAGATGTCTCATAAAACAACAGCCGTTCACTTGACACAATGAAGCAGTACAGTAAACTTTCTGGAGAGTGGAGTTAAACACATTCGAATGGCAGAACCGGTCTAAAATGATCATAAAAATGGATTGTCGTCATCCATTCTCATTTTTAGTTGGTACACGTCCGCGCGTAACTGCAATTCAGAGGTTGTGTCTTTCATGGTCGAATAGATATTTTGAAGTCTCTTTGAGTTTCCCTTCTGTAACATACAGGCACTCTTGTCTGTGTACCTTGACCCAAGGACTAGGACAGCATTAACTGTAGCAACCTGCAGGAAGGGTCAGCACAGACCGCAACACTTGCTGCTAGGAATATTACTTGAGCTTCCTGAAGACTGGGTTCTGACCCTTACTGGGCACAATAAAAGTAGAACATTTAGCACTTCGCAAAGTCCAATTATTGGTAAATAAAACCATCGCAGTCCCATTTTAAGAGACAGATTAAAATATGATGTTTCAGATAGAATCTTGCTTTAGAGCCCAGGTTGACATCAAACTCATGATTCCCTTGTCTTAGCCTCCCAAGGGCTGGGATTACAAACATGAGCATCTGCTCCTCTCTACTCTTTCCAAAGGAAATACTCCCATTAGTCTTCCCTAGGGCTCTAAAAAGACCCATCCTCGTGGCTTACTGGAGCGTTGCGACAGTTTGCTGAGCTTTTATTTATGTTTCTGCTTTACCAGACACTATGAACCTTATTTATTTATTTATTTATTTATTTATTTATTTATTTATTTATTTATTTATTATGTATACAATATTCTGTCTGTGTGTGTGCCTGCATACCAGAAGAGGGCACCAGACCCCATTACAGATGGTTGTGAGCCACCATGTGGTTGCTGGGAATTGAACTCAGGACCTTTGGAAGAGCAGGCAGTGCTCTTAACCACTGAGCCATCTCTCCAGCCCCCACCATGAACCTTTTATGTATTGTTTTACTTTATCCATGAAACCCTGTTAGGTCCCAGTGCTTCAAATATAAATGCGAAAGGAGAAATAGCTTAAGTTTCACAACTAGAAAGTTAGGCAGCCCTTCAGTGCTTTCTCGATAGATTTTCAAAACTATGATCAGCCATATTCCAGAAAGGAAATAACTCTCTTTAACAGAATATCTTAGGCAAATCCTCTGACCAAAGAAATTATTTATGCTTATTAACTTTTATAAACAGACACTATTTTTCAAGGTGTACCAAGAGAGAAAACTCTCAGCTACACTTGATTCTAAGAGTCCATTCTAGTAGTATCAACACCGGTACCAGTAACAGAGGTAGATGGCCTAGACTTAACGAGAGGAACAGCTGTCTGTTTCTCGTGATTTTTGTTTGTTTTTTTGTTTCTCTGTATAGACTGGCTATTCTGGAACTCAGACGTCTGCCTGTCTTGGCCACCAGAGTGCTGGAATTAAAAGTGTGCACCACCATGTCCAGCTATTGTTTCTTATGTTTTAAATTTTATACTTAGTACACAGAAAACAGATTTTTTTTTTTTGGCGTGGGTATTTCACTCAATCATGCAATCTTGATCCTTGTTCTATCATCGTCTAACTTTACAATCTTATACTGGTCACTGAATCTCTTTGGTTCTCAATTTCCTACTGATAAAATAGGAATAATAATTCTTAGTTTCTAAGTATGGTCTTTGACATTCATCAGATAATGGTTTAATTAAATTTTGAAGATGCTTTGTAATAACAAAATTTTGTAGATTTATGACATAATTTAAGGCTAACAATTTTCAGGTCAGGAAAACATCTACCCTGGAAGGAAAAGTAGCTTTAATTTTATTTTTAGATTCAATGCTTTCTAGTCAGAATCTCACGTAGCCAAGGCTGGTCTTGAACTCCTGATTTTCCTGCTTCCACTTCCACTTCTCAAGCTGCTGGGCCTGGATATTTTTCTTGAAAACCCATCCCATTTCTCTGTCTCTGTCTCTGTCTCTGTCTCTGTCTCTGTCTCTCTCTCTCTCTCTGTGTGTGTGTGTGTGTGTGTGTAAGTGATCTAAGTGTGATATTTTGGTGAAATACAAGATAAATTAAGTAAAAAATCATGCTTAATACATATAAATCCCAGCACTCAGGAGGCAGAGGCGGGTGGATCTCTGTGAGTTCGAAGCCAGCCTAGTCCACAAGAGCTAGTTCCAGGACAGGCTCCAAAGCCAAAGCCACAGAGAAACCCTGTCTCAAAAAACCAAAAACAAACAAACAAAAAAATTATGTGGATAAATAGACAAAATGCTCTGTAAAAATGTGTGAATGTTTCTGAGTGGAGTTCTCTCAATAACAAACAGTACATCTCCGTTTTTCATTTAGGTTAGTGGCCTCTCTGGTTAATCCTATTTTGAGCAGCGCTGGTGTAATGAACTCTTTCTAAAGGTGAGTCAGAAAGTGAAGTGAGGAGCTGGAATTACTAAAAATGCAAAAGTCTAGACTGTGTCGGCCGTCAAGCTGAGTGATAAGTTAGATGTTATCTGGACTTGGTGAAGCACACCCAATTCTCAACATTTGGAAGATAGAAGAAAGGTCAGTAGTTCAAGGTCAATCTTAGACACCTAGCAAGTTTAAGGCTAGTCTGGAATGCGAAAACAAACTAACAAAAACTATGGCTGTTGCTTCTAAGAGTCCATCTGTCCCAATCCTGCTTGATGTTAATGAGATGCCTTCTGTCTGTCATCCTCCTGGGCTCTACTTCCCAACAAGTTATACTTCTCTATCAATTTATATTTTCTTAAAAAAAAAGTTTCGAACTGATTGGTGGTGGCACATGCCTTTATCCCAGCACTTGAGAGGCAGAGGCAGGAGGATCTTTGTGAGTTCAAGGCCAGCCTGGTCTACAAGAGCTAGTTCCAGGACAGGCTCCAAAGCTACAGAGAAACCCTTGAAAAACCAAATAAAAAAAAGTTTAATTGTATTTTAGTAGATGTGTGTGCGTGCACACAGGTGGGTATGAGATGACAGCTGGCTGGAGTCAGTTATTTCCCTCCACCATGTTGGTCCTGGAGACTGAACTCGGGTTCTCGGGCTTGGCATCCCATACTTGTATCATTTAAGTCATCTCCTCACCTCCTGAATGTACATCTTTTTATAAGAGGGTTAGAGTCAAACATTAATGGAAGTCCTGATTCTCTTCCCACACCCCCACTTTGGTTTTTTTTTCGAGACAGTATTTCTATGTGTGTAGCCCTGGCTGTCCTGAAACTAGCTCTGTAACCAGGCTGGCCTCGAACTCGCGAAGTTCCACCTGCCACCCCAGTGCTGGAATGAAAGTCGTGGGTCACCATCGCCTGGTGGAAGTTCTGATTCTTTAACAACCACACTTATTAGTGGTTTTGTGAGAAGAAGAACCTGATGCTTTAGAATATCTTCTCCAATATATCTGCAAAGGACCTGGTACATGTGGCCTCTGTGAGCTTTGCTTATGTGGATTTAGAGGGCCATGTTTTCTTGATACCCTCCATCCCCTCTGGCTCTAACATTCCTCTTTCTCAGGGTTCTCTGAGTTCTCTGAGATTTGATGGGTTGATGGAGACATGCCTCTGAGGGCTGAACGTTATCATATCTAAATATTTTTGTTGCTAGATATGTTGAGACAGGGGTCAGTCTTTAACAAATTATTGCAAGGTTTGGAATGGTTCTTAGTGACAGAGCACTTGCCTAGCATGGCCAAGGACTTGGGTTTTATCCCCAGCCCTGTCAAAAACAAATAGGTGAGACCTGAGAACCAATATTTAACAACAAACAAAAGACAAAGGACAGCAAATAAAGATAGAGAAAAATAAGACATCCATGTCTTCATAATTCACACCCACTTTAATATATTATTGTATTGATTCATCTTTTTGTAAGACAACATTACAAGAGAACTCAACCCTCCTTACTGCCCCAGATCTTTTAATATATTAGTAGGTGGTGCTGCCATCTACTGATTACTTTTGCAATGACACTAAACAATTGTAAACTGCCTATGGAGAAATGGCCACCTCCCAAGGTTCTGTTGGGAAGTTTACAGTCTATTACATTTATGGGGTGGTGCTGGCCTTTTGTGATCAGATACTAGATATGATAATGTACCACATTTCCTTAGGTCAATAAACTCACAAAGAATTGGGTTGTCCCAAGTCTCTATTGTCTTTCTTAGGAGATAGTTTTTTGCATGATTTTCACCTAATACAGAATGGTCAGGAATGTGATTATTGTATGTATGGACAAAGTATTGTACCTTGTGCTGTTCCA